CAGTTGAGGTTGAGGATCCTCGACCTGTGCTGGTAAAACTCACAGAGGCCACAAAGTGAGCTGTTCCTGTCAACAAGGGCCGATGTCGCTTGTTTTGTGACGTCGAGAACAGCTTTCCTCAAGTGCCCACGTCGACGGAAGGCCAATCGTTGGTTGGTATAAGAGCGGTGGCCTGTTGTTCGAACGTCAATGGGTATAGTCTACGGGAACAGAGAGGGGCTCTGTCAATACTGCTCCATTAAAGGAAATAGTTCACTTTCACGAAATTATTTTTTTGCAACGGATTTATGATTTTTTATGTTCAAAATAATCAGCAAAGAAAATAAAACCTTTTTATAACAAAAGATTGTTTTCTATATTTTGATATAGGAAGAACTTTTCAGTTTCTGTAAGGCACACGCGATCCAGTATGAAAAGAGCATGGGTCCCGAAAATTCTTCAGAAACAGAGAAATTATCGCAGCCACCGGCATTTGGGCGATCTGCTCGATCTGATAATGTTCCCCCGAATGTCCTAATTGATCAGTACGAGAATTTCTCTAGAGTTCTCGTAGATAATTTATCTAGTTTCTGAAGAATTTTCGGGACCCATGCTCTTTTCATACTGGATGGAAATATATGCAAGGCACACATCCTCAACGCAAGACACCTTTTTCGGGACGAGAAATAGAATATCTTTGCCTAGGGTGATCGTTAGGCTGTAAAAGCTCCTGATTTATGCTCGTCTCAGCCCAAGCTACGGAACTGCTATTCCAGTTCAAAACCCATGTTAAAAAGTGAACTGGCGACAGCAATTAGTGGAGGCCCGTGTTGGGGCTGTGTGGGTGGTCAGTGACTGTCACTATAGTGACCGTTACTCTCCTGGGGAGTTTCTACGCTCCTCGCGTGGTGGATAAACTTGACTCACGTTTGTGAGTTGTGATAGAAGATCCAACATGAACACTTGTGTTTTAGGTGGAATTAGTGATAGTTTCGTACCGATACCAATACCGCTCGGCTGCATTACCTCGACTCTGCTAAATGTTGCACGTATCATCGTTTTTAGACCGTAACCGAAAAGTTGTGTTGTAAGTATTTGTAACATAACGTTATGTTATCAGACGCATTGATGCAATTGAATTCGAATTTTAACTTGGCGAAGATTTATATCAACGTTCTATAATAATCGACTCATAACTACCTATCTGCGGATACCGATCTGCATATTTGCAGCTCCGGGCCCATTATGATTCGCAACAACTGCAGCGAACACTCGGTAACATGACTTTATTGACTACACAGTGCACAGTACCACTTCCTATACATACGCAGACCAGCGTGACGGACAAAATATTGTCTCTGTAAATGAGCGCCTTTGCATGCACCGTTCGGGCAGTGGCTTTTGCTGGGCACGGTTGCTATTATGTTGATTGATGTAGCCAGTACCTGCATCGGATCAATCATGGCAGACCCACCCTCGCCGTTATGTAATAGGTATATATAGGACTCTGACAAAGGTTGTGCCGGCACGAATGAAAACGGCAAAATCAGTGTTTTCTTAGTTATAACCTGAATCGATGTGTTTCGGGTCACGAGTGCTCAAAGAATGACAGCTGTAACAGTCGAGCCAGTGGCGACAGTTCGGACTCTGTCACGATTAACACCGCGTGACAGCCGCGTCCCACTGCCCCGTCACGACAGCGCCGTCACGGTAGGCGGTATCAACGGACGCGTCCGAAGTTTGTCTCGTGACTCGACCATCCATCATCGAGGGCCCGAGGCCGTCGGTGACACCTTCGACTTTCGAGAATGCACCTCCGCGGAGATGCACAGACGGCCGACGTGTCGGTCGTTTGCCACTCGACCGGCTTTCTTCCGATGTGGGATAACGCTGCAGCTGTGTTTGCGAGTGGTCACCAGTCGAGGGAAGTTCACACGTGGCGCGGCTGAGACGCCCACCTGGCGCGGGACTGGCAGCGCGCGCCGGATGGGCGCCATCCGGAACGACAATGTGGCCATGTGGTGTGGTGACTTGCGGCAGGGATGGACCGCGACTGGCTGGGGACGTGCAGCGGCTGGACGGTGCCCGGCTGGGGACGTACAACGGATGGACGACCGCCATTCACATGTGTTCGCCTGTCGCGTACGGCAATTAACACTACACATGTGATGAACGTTCGCACGCAGCCGCCTCAGACAATTTATGATCGGCCAGTTATCAGTCATGGGCAATTATTATTAATTGGTTGTCGGTTACAATGCTAGAAAGGGCATTGTATGGATAACGTTATTAATATATACCTATTTCCACCGATCAGTTACCGACACCAATACGAATCTTCCACGCTGCATAATGGGCAAACATCATGAAACATCATAATAATGCAATTGATCTGTGTGCAGTGTGGCTTAAGACCGGCCAAATCCGTGGCTGCAAAAACATCGTTAGCATGGAATAATCCATGTTCATTTTTCACTCATATTGGTTTTACTCATGCAGCACAAAAATAAAACACGATTGTGGTTTAATGGTGTTGGACTCTGGCTATTATGTCGCAATGGGAGGGAAGTCAGTGAATTCAGATGTGCACAAGTTCACCTTTATTCATCCTCCAGTGCTTTAGGTATATTATTTTATATGCATGTTTCTGCCCTTGATCAGGTGCACTGTGCAGTGCGGCAAATGCTTATAAATTCGGAACCTAATCTACAGCGATACTGATATGATATAGCTACAGATATGACGGTCTCGGTGATTGATGCTGCCTCACGGAACTTTTATGACCGAAAGTGGACCATATGAGAACCAAACATGTATCTGAAGACGTATCAGTACCTACTAAACGAGTGCAGAGTGCAGAGGCCAGAGGTAGCAGCAGATATAAACTGATTATTTCAACAAGTTATCGAAAGGTACCAGACATCATTTAAGGTAGTCCAGGCCGAGTGATAATCCAGATCCAAACATTACCGCTTTTTTAAAATCTCTGCTCACAACCCTGCGGGCTAGGTATATCTAGGCACATTACCGTGTCCGTTTCACACGATTCTGGCGTTGGAAAGGTGTCATATAACCTGCTACTAAGCACATAGAGTATAAATGCAATAATGAATTAGGTAACGTCTTCGTCGCCCAGTTGGACACTCGGACAGTGCACAAATTAGGGCAGCTCTGCAGTCACGCAATGTATTTTGCAAATGCTCAGCTACTTTTGCTCCTTAATTTTTGCTCGGCATATTAGTCGTTAATTCTCGCTTAAGCACAGCACTAAATAGTTAATTGACACTACACGATGTCTTAATTAATGATCAAAAAGTTAACGTTGACTGCATGAAATGAGTGAAAGCACGACAATTTTGCCGTCGTCAGACGGACAATGAGTTGTGCCTCGGTTTATTATGCGCGGCCAAGCGTGAGGATAATCCCGAACGGATGATATACTCCACACGGCACGCACCACCATATTTTCTCAGTGTCTTTCCCGTGGCCCGTGAGTGAAATAAGTATTGTAGGTACCTAACCCTATCATATGACCGGGTTGGGCTCGACACAATCAATCGCCCATAAAACATTTATTATATCTGCCGTCTATCAATGCGAACATAATGACATCTTTGTTTTATTGCTTTCTTTGGTATTGGTCCTGCGCTTTAACCCTCGCCCATGTAGGGGGGGGGGGTTGGTGCAACCCCCCCTCTGAGGTTTTTCGGAAGTAGTGTAAAAACGGCGGCGCGCAGCGCCGCCAAATTTTGGGTACCTTATGGGGCAAGCCTTGCGCATCTTTTGATAAAAAAAAATTTGACCGGGTCATGTCAGGTCACGGAGTTATGACGTCACAAAGGGAACAGCCTCCGGCCGGATTTTCACAAACTGAGTGCCAACGCCCGAGGTTTCCTGCCGGTGGTACGGACATCGGTTGATGGATCGTGATGAAACTTCCCATGCATGTTGGGGCAAGTATTGGCTATCATATGGTATAAGAAACTTGACCGGGTCAGGTCAGGTCACGGAGCTATGACGTCACAAGAGGAACAGCGTCCGGTACTATTTTTGAAAAGCGCCCGAACCACTATTTTGCTAATTCTTGTCAGCTCAATGGGAATATGCAGCAATATTAGCTTCTATAGGGAGCAAATGGACCTCCCAAATCCAAAAATACAATCAGATTTCAAAAATTTAAATTTTGATTTTTCGAATTTCTGCCGCCGACTGTGACCTTGCCGACTTCCGGCGCTCCCAACGCGCCATTTTTAGAGCTAGGGAAACGAAATACATACCAAACGATAGAGAATTGATCAAGGAACACGATAGTGAAGGTTTCAAGTCGATATCTCCCACCGTTTTGCCGCAATCGCCGCGAAAAGTTAAAAAAAATCTATTTTTCCGAAAATTTGACCTTTGACCGGTCAAAAGTAGGTCAAATGTTGACCTAGGACCAAAAAATATACCACCAATCGCGAGATCTCGGCGAGAGCAATCCGATGGTCTTTTCCGCTAAGCTCTACGACGCTCCGTTTTCAAACGCCAAGGGGGGGTCGCACCAACGCCCCCCTGCATGGGCGAAGGTGGCAGATCGCCGTTTACGGGCGAGGGTTAACATGCGCTATTCATTTCGGCATGTGCAAGCTGCATAGACGAGCCACTATAATTTATGAGAAATTATATTGCACGAAATAAGCATACATGTGTCAGTGTAACAGCCCTCACGTGCTGGCACACGGAAAAGTACCTACCTTCATATACGTTGACTATCAACGATTTGCGTGACGCAGGCCAGTTATAGATACAGAGGCTTGTTTATTAAGATGACAGTTAGAGTGAACGGTGCGGTAGGAAGGAAAGAACGACTTTTTCAGTACAACGGCGTCGCAAATGGCAATCGCTCTCGATAGTATGCCTCCTAGCGATAGTATAGCGATATTACAGTCGTATGTTTTCCAGTAACTATTCAGTAATTATAGTAGCCAACAGTGACTACTACTAGCATATTTATGCTCACCAATTGTCTCTTTTCCTCGCAGGTTCACCGGCATCGAGAGTCACAGGCGGTACCTGGCGTCGAACGTGAACACGCGCCAGATCCTGCAGAACATGCTGGAGACGACGACGGTGCCCGTGCCGCTGCAGAAGCTGCTGGAACTGCGGCCGCTGATCGACACGTCGCCGGCCCTCTCCGAGAAGGAGGTGCTCAACAGCATGCGCAGGGACGTGCCCAACCTGCCTGTCGACTACTGGCTGGCAATGAAGGGTAAGGCGACCCAAAAGAACAAGACGTGCGCCAAGCTGCCGGCGGTGTACGACCTCAAGTTCAACAACATCTACTGGCAGGTGCTGGAGACCAGCAACGGAACGTACAACTTCTACGCGGCCTACTACGACAACCGGCCGACGCTGTCGATCGGGCCGCTGGTGCGAATCATGGTGATGATCGACCGCATCAAGCCAACACTGAAGACCTACTGCCAGATGTGGTTTAGTGGCCAGACGGCGCCGGTCATCATGCCAGTCATGGAATATAAGTACGTGTGGAACGAAAAGTGGGGCAACTTCAAACAGGGCATCATCCAGCCATACCTGATGGCGTGCCAGGTGCCGGCGAGTCACCGCAAGCTGGTGCCGCAGGCGGTCACGGTGGTCGAGAGTCCGTGCAACACGTCCACCGTGGCGCTGCGGGTCATCAACAACCGGCCGCCGGAGGGGCAGCCGCCGCAGGACTTCGCCGTCTGCGTCAAGGGCCTGTCGTTCCCCGACAACGACCTCTCCGTCCGGCTGGTGGAGTGGCTGGAGACGCTGCGCGTGCTCGGCGCCAAGAAGGTGTTCCTGTACGATCTGGAGGTGCACCCGAACATCTCCAAGGTGCTCCGCTACTACGAGCGCCAGGGCCTGGTAGAGGTGACGCCACTGACTCTGGCCGGCGAGCAGCCCAACCTGTCCGTGTTGCAGCGACTCTACCTGCGTAAGAAGGTCACCAACAAGCGTCAAAGCGAGCTGGTACCGTACAATGACTGCTTCTACCGCAACCTGTACCGCTACAAGTACGTGGCGCTGCTGGACACGGATGAGGTAATCATGCCGACTGGGCATCGCGACTGGGCTGAGCTCATGGCCTCCATCGCGCCGCGCGCCGACACTGAAGCTAAGAAGAAGAACAAAGTGGTTGCCTCGTACAACGCGCGCAATGTCTACTTCTTCGACGTGCAGGACCACGAGCACACCTGGCAGCCGGACATCCCGCACTACATGCACATGCTGCAGCACGTGAAGCGCAGCCTCAACTACACCAAGCCGGGCCACTACATCAAGTGCTTCCACCGTACAGACCGGGTGATCGCGCTGCACAACCATTTCCCGCTGGCGTGTCTCGGCGGCTGTCTGTCCTACAGCATCAACACCAGCGACGCGCAGCTGCAGCACTACCGCGCCGACTGCGTGGGCCCGCTCAGGAAGACGTGCGAGCTCGAGTACAAGAAGAACGCCGTGGTGGACACGTCCATCTGGCGCTTCAAGGAGGAGCTGATCACGCGCTCCACGCGCACGCTGGTGACGCTCGGCTTCCTGCCGCCGGAGGGAGGCCGGCTGGCCGAGCTGTATGAGTCGGCCCGCTCGGCGCACGCGGGCCGCGCCGAGTCGCTGTCGGCCCAGTCGGCACCCGACGCGGCCACCGAGGCCCAGAGCGAGTCAGACGTTCGGTAGTGCGCTGGGACGACCCGCCTACAGGGTAGCCTAGCGTTGTGTTCTAAACCAGCTGTGATGTAGCCGTGGAACCCGGACTGAGGTCGCCATCAAGTGGCAGGGAACGTTCCTGCAGTGAACGTGCTTCGCGTGACCGGGTGGTCACAATATCGCGGCTGAGCGGAGCGGGAACCTTGGACGTTGCTCAGTATTTGATTGTGATTATGTTGGTTGATCGTGGCTTCTCTTTCGAATGTCAGAAGGGGTGCTGTTTATGTTTCGCCGCGATTTCTAGTGCTTTGTGAACTTCGCATTGCTTTAGTTATTATAGGAGTGTTTGCTTTCTCTGGAGGCTGTTGACATTGTTACACATTGTTTGGGTTCTTCTGTCCCGAGGGTCCTGGCTGGCTTCGATCAGACAGTGATCTAATCCGAGTGCTGTTGTCGCCCGTTTTGTCCGCGTCATTTTTGTGCGATGTTTACTCGTTTGTATTGAATATGTATATCTGAAGTCTGAACCGCACGCGGCTTAGTCACGCTTTTCGGCGTCCGAAACACCTGACGTTCCGTTCGCAGTGGCAACATTTGTGTGCGTTTGAAGCGAAGGAAATGATGATGCTCGATATGGATGTGCACTGTGCGTATGTAGCGTGAGACATGTGTGTTTGTTGTGCTAGGCGTCTGTACTCTAGAGGTGCTCGTTATCTGTGGTCCATTGAGAGGAGTGTTATCTGCACACAGTCTGGTGATAGCAGTCTGACCGACCGGTCCCCGACCTCGACCCTGGCCTGTCGCGCTCACCGTGACCCGTTCGGCTCGCCAGCTGGACCAGTTTCCAGCCCGCCCGCCGGGCGGGGCCGGGCCGGCTCTGACCCGTCTAATGGGAGCCGGTGGGCGAGCCGGCCGATGAGCGGACTGGTCTCGCGCCGACCCGCTGTTCGGACTGTCAGACAGGTGGCCGGTGGGCCGGTCTGGGCGTGGGCCGGCGGCGGGCGGAGCAGCGGGGCCGGCCGCGGGTCGTGACGGCGGGATGCGGGCTGACGCGGTCGGGACAGGCGCTGTGGCAGTCCGTGTCTGTCTTACGAGCAGTGAGGCGCGCGTGTCCTCCGCCACCGCGTCGGGCGTCACGCGAGATCCATCATTCATTGTTTGGTGCCGCCGGTGCGAGGCACCCTGTCGCCCTGGTGTCAAGACGCGCTCGCCTGTCGTCCTGTCATGCGGCGGACATGTGATTTGGTGACTCCCGTGCCCCTCGTGTCCTGTTGTTCCCGCGATATCCTTCTGTGTCAATTTATGAACGCTAGAGTGTCTGAGATCCAACATATCACATGTGTCTATAGGGGACGGCGGAATTGAGCATTACTGCGCCGTGCTTGCATACGAGATCAGTGCGTGGCGACCTTTGTGATATGCCACAGGGCTAGATTGGGGGCGATGCTGCCACGAAGCGCATGTGCAAAATTGTGGAGCATGGGATGTCGAAGCAGCTCGATCATGTTATGTGTCTTGTGATAAAGCTTGGAAACCATGGGAGCTTACAGCGCGTTGCGTTGTTGGGTGTCATTATATTTATCTATTTCGATGACCGGTGCCAGGAGACGATAATTTATATTTTCCTTATTTCGACCTCAAAGTTTACTGGAAGTGTACCTATACCTACTGCTTTTGTGAGAGCGTTGGCAAAATATATTTCGTTATTTGAGGAGAATCGTCTCTGAGCCTGCTTATCAAATAATAGACGGTCAGGAGTAGGACATTGCGTTGTAAATGATTTTTTTCCTGCACCAATGATTGAACATAAGAAGGTTCCTTCCTGTTATAGCCGTCAGCAGCTCCAGTGTTTGTACCATGTGGATTATGAGTAGCGTCCAGGCAAGACGTAGCTGGGAGCACATTTCAGACGGGACTGAAATGTGAGGACCGGGAGAACCGGCTGAGCTGAAAAGTGAGGACCGCATGAACCAGCGTGGCTGAAATGTGGGGACCCCTCGGCGACCGAGCCACACACTACTGCGTGCTGCCTCCGCGCCTGCCGTGCCCGCCGGCTGTATTTTAGCGCTGCCGAGTTGGCCAGCTATGTTGATCAGTGTGATCCCGTGCTAGGCGCTCGCAGAGCCGGCATCCAGCGGGCCCCATCAAATATGCACGGACCGTATCGACGACCGTGGAAAACGGCGCGTCCCCACGCGAGAACTCGGCTGTGTCCAACCAGGTCTCCCACATAGTAAACAGACCCGCGTGGCGGCCTGGAGCTAAAAATGCGCAAGTCAAACATAGAGGCCTCGTTTTTTATAAACAAGTCTGTTCTTGCTTGTCAAGCCGGTAACGTCTTTTCCCATTCTTTATTGCCGACTTTCTTACAGACCCGCTAGAGCGATGAAATAGGAAAATATATTATAGGCCTATCTGATGTGCTTACCTCAACAGTGCAGCTCGAGTAACATGAGCCATGACCTTTTCCTGGTCATGACTTTTGACCAGTTGGGTGATGGGTCGAATAAATTTCGTAAAGATTTTGTGTTAAAGGGACCCTCCCACCTTAACATTAGATTTGAGTTGAGATAGCCAAAATGGGGTCCCTGGCTCGCAATTACCGGTTTCGGCACTCACAACATCGAGAAATGCACGGTATATAGAGAACTGAGAAATGCCTTAAATCGGAAATATTGAATTTCAAAATTGCAGCATTTTGATTCAGAGGGGCTAATGCATAGGAATACCCCTCTGAATGTGTGACGTCAGCGCAGATATCTAACGATTTTTAAATGTTTGACTAAAACGTTTTGTAGCACGCGGTGGTATATGCTGCTTTGCGCGCAACAAGTGCCGCACTTTGAGCTGCCAAACTATTGCTTCCAAATAAAGTCGCTAGGAACAGCAGCGGAGATCCCAAAAAGTAAACAAAAGTAAAAGTCTAATGTCTTGAAAACCGGTGAATATTTTTCGGTGAAATTTGGTAGATATTCGTTTTCGCTCTTTCTGAACCGAGCGACATCACTTTCATGCCAATTCATAAACTTTTTTGAAGGTGGGAGGGTCCCTTTAAAAGCTAGGTAGGTATTGCATAAAATTCCATTCCGCAAAAAGTTATTGACGGGCGGCGGCTCTTGCCTGGCTGCGTGGCTCACTCGAGTTCGAGGGGTGGGCGCTGTTTGTTTGTTTTGCTGCAGGAGCAAGCCCTTTCGGACTGAACAGTCATTCCATGGCTATGGGATGATAGGATAGGTTGGGGACCTTGACCGTGCGGACCAACGACGGTGCCCCGGCAGCGCGGCGATAAGCAAAGGAGACCGTCTCAATGGGATGGGAGCGTCTCGTTGAGATCCTCAGTTGGATCCTCGAGATCTGGGCCTGGACCTCGCCACCGGCTGTCTGGTGGGTTGAACGCCAGCTCAGCCGTGAGAGGATGGTGTAAGAAACTGATGGTTTGGTCCTGCTCTAACTTCTGAGGCGATGCCATCGAGCTCGGATGGGAACTTCGCTTGTTTGGGGGGCAAGGGCATCGCCATCGGGCAATAGGTAGGTATTTAGGCAATAGATCACCAGATGTTTAGGCAATAGGCAATAAATTACTAGATGTTTCACAGCGGTGCTCTGGAAATCACGGCGTCTGAACGTGTTTTACATAGGTGGAAATTTGTGCCGGGCTGGGGGGGGGGGGAGCGGGGGAGTGCCTGCCTGAGGCTGAGCCCTCCCAATTCCACGCTGGCTTGTGGCTTCGAAGCCGCAACAGACGGCGGAGGTCAATGTCACCGCTTGGGCGGGGGCATATTTGTTCATTGTTGCGCCCGGACACCCCACTCCCCAGCTGGGCACCTCTTATCTTGCTTATCGGCACCTCTTGCTTGGCGTTGGCACAAAGTTTTACCACGGAATATATAGTCTACGACATGGAATGGACAGATCGCGATTTAACCACGTTAAACGTGTAACTCGAAAGTAACCAAGGAGGCGCCCGTATTATAAACGCACACAGTGCTCTCGCGCTAGAAAATCAAATATTTTTCGCAAAACCACGAACAAAACTCGACAACCTAAACAAAATTCGACATTCTTGTGCAGCAGTGATTCAAGGATAGAGTCGACGGCTTATTTAGTACTGGTAACGGCGATTTACCGTTAATCTTCTCATTCATTTGATTTTTTTTTTTGTACTTTTTTATTGTGATAGGAGTATGAATGAGTTTGCGGATTGGCGTTTTTTATCGCGAATTTGTGAGCTTAAAAAGTGATGTGGCCCAGCGCGGTTCACTGCGGCTACTGCCAAAAGGCGATATCAAAATCGCAACTGTCTAGACACCGGAGAAGGCCAAGATTACTTTACCGAGAAGGCTGCATCCGTGGCTGCCTACGACCCGACCCGGCCCGGCCGGCCCCGCAAAAGCGAAGCGCAACCGGCTGATGGTATCCTTCGCCAGTGGAGCTGCTGCTTCTGGCTGCAGGCACATTGGCCATTGCCGGGTAAGTTTGTATCGCCTTATTATTTAAAAAAAGTTGTTTATAGCAATAAGTTATTTGTTTATGTATTAGTTAGCTATTAATACAATTATTCTACCCTTTGCGCTATTGTGACCGCCGACCGCCCGTCCAGTCACACGGACAGAAACATGCTTCTGATCTCTCTGTTCCACGATTTTTTTTTAAAAAAAGTTCGAATTGAATGAATTGAATGAATTTGAATCAAATTCCAATTGAATTGAATAAATTTGAATCAAATTTGAATTCGAATTGAAAACAAATTCCTGAATTGAATGAATTCAGGAAGCGTTTTTTTATTTTAGCTGGAATCGATTTTGTTAGACGAGGTGAAGAAAAACGGACAGCGTTGTCAAAGTGCTATTTATTGTTTCTGAACTTAACAGAGGGTTGAATAGTGGAGCTCGGCTCAGGTGGAAATTGGTACATGACACTCGCTGCTCGTTACCCCTCATGCAGACACGCGCTTTGCCTTTGTCAGGTTCGGTCTAGGCACACCAGCCTGCCCCGACACCGACGAGTGACGGCGATTTTCCCGTCGCCCCTGAGGGGCCAGCCAGACCCGTCGATGCGGCGACCGCGGTACCAGCTGACGCTGTCGAGCAAGATCGCGCGCATTTCACTGGTAGGTAAAGGATAGGGCCGAAGCATGCCCTGCAGTTTGAAAGCCGTTAGATTCGGAACCACGAATGGCAGCTCTTTCAACAGCTCTATATCTGGAGCCATTTTCCTCACTGCTGGCGGCGATTCTCGATCTCTAAAGCTTTGCGGTACAGCATAACTTCAGGCGCTCGCTCTTCCTGCCATCTAGCGGTAGAAAATGTCGCGGCAGTAGAATCGCCATTCCGTTCCTCTCTGTGGACTATCATGTCAGCACATTCGTCGGTGTTTTTTTTCAACCGCTTATTCTGAACAGTAAACGAAGGCACACTCCGGAGGACTGATTGGTGTTTCGGCTCTCCCTCCAGGTACTGCATCGCAGTGTCGCCACCATGTACGGAGGACGCCAGAGGACGGCCCGTCAGTCTTTGCGGCCCGTGCGCTGGACCGGCACGGGTCACACGCTCGGTAAAGTAGCTGGCCTGCGCACGCAGCTCGACATCATCTGTGGTGTCATCCCAGCCTTTCTTCACGGCCCGCGCGCTGGGCCGGCGCGGGTCACACGCTCTGTGAAGTAGCTGGCCTGCGCACGCAGCTCGACATCATCTGTGGTGTCATCCCAGCCTTTCGTCAGATCATTCACTCGTTGCTTCAGCCATGCCGCCGCCGGCCGCAGTCATCCGGCCACGGGGGAGATAAGTGATAGGCTGACCACACCACAAGAACAGTGCTCTCCGTGCAAATATCACGACCGGAAGTGCGCGAGCTACTGACTGGGAGACGGCGCTCGCGCTGACGCTGTTTCCTCGACGTTTATGCAGCTCCTGGCGAGGTGACCGGTCTTGCTGCAGGTCTAATAACGCCGTGCCCGGACCGCCGTGGACCGTGGCGACCCGCTGGTCTGACCGACCGGCCGGTGTCTTGGCGTCTCACACCCGCTGCTGCCGAGAACACATTCGTCACTCAGCACTGACCGCGCCAGGATGCTGGCCAGATCTGCAGGCCTTCTGCGCGCGTGTCGGCCCGAATTGTGCTGCTAACGGCGTCTGGTAGCCTGGCGATGAAAGCACTGGCGATAAAAGCACCTACCCGAATGCAAGCCGAGTGCAGCAAAAGATGCTCCCCCAGTGTGGAAACCGAGCGTCGTGCGCGCTCCAAATTTTAACCCTCGCCGGCCGAGGGGGGGGGGGCGGGTGCCGCCCCCCCCCATAGGGTTTTTTCGCGATAGCTCCGAACACGCTGGCGATAGAGAGCTGAAACTTGGCATACCTGACCTTTGATCCAAGCCGCATCTTTTGACACCAACCGCATTTTTGGGTCAGGTCAGGTCACTGACCTATGACGTCATAAGTGAACCTCTGCACGGTCTTCAGATGTCGCAACTTCGCAACGCCCTCACTGCCAGAGGAGATGTCACAGGGAAATGAAACTTGCAGGATCTAGTATCCATTATGAGTCCCACAACTTGTATATCTCGGATTTTTCCTAAAGGTCATATGAGGTCAGGTCATTTTCGTGACCTCACCATTATAAGTCAATGGGGAAAAATTCAAACTGCTATTCTGGCGCCGGGAACGATCTCCAACTATCTCAAGCACACAGAATCGTGATTTGATGCACTCCTTGCAAGGTTAGATGCGTCACTTTTGCAATGTTGACCTTGCGTGACGTCATTTATGACGTCATCAAGGTCAAATTAGTTTTTCGTCAATAACTCTTGATCAAATTGAGCTAGCGAGTCGGGAAAGGCACCAATGGGCTCAGGAAGGCCTGCCGAATCGAATGATATGCGACATGACCTCTTTCGACCAGCTTTGTAACCTGGGGGTGCTGACCTGACCTTGACCTGAGGTCAACACCCCAAGTTGACCTGACCCGGACAAAAAGTATATCATTCGACGCGCCTGAGCGAGGGGAACACGATGCTGCCAAAATCGGCGCTCTGCGGCCGTTTTTTGCGAAGTTATTCACCAAAAACTGAACCGTACCCTGGGGCACTTGACCTGACCTCAGAGGTCACCGGTTGACCTAGGACCTTAAAATCGGGTACCAATCTCTGCGTCTCGTAACGGCGCACACGCTCGTTTTTTCCGCGACGCGCTAGCTCCACCAGGGGCGAAACGGCGAGGGGGGGGTCGTACCCGCCCCCCCCTCGGCCGGCGCGTATGTAGAAAACCAATAGGTCCGGCGAGGGTTAATACAACCAATCTTTGCAGGCCTTTGACTTTGAAAATTTCACCGGCGCAGTTCGCACAGTTTCGAAGCAATAACCCGCCAACAGGGACAGACTCAAATACATCCATACATAGTTTTACAGTTTTATAATAGTAATTTAACCCTCGCATGTGTAGGGGGGGGGTCGGATGGACCCCCCCCCCATGGTTTTTCGCGAATAACTCGCGTAAAAAGCGGCCGATCGCGACGAAACTTTCAGTACCCTCACATTGATCAATTTTACACCTACCCTGAAAATTTCATGACCCTGACCCAAATGACCTTTGACCTGTGACCTCTTTTCCGAGACCATGTTTGGCCGGAATCGCGATTCTGCGTATGTCGGCTCCATAGGTGGGCACGATCCGTTCCTCCGTTCCTCCGTTCCGGAACGCCGTTACAATTTTTAGGAACGGAGGAACGGACTCGTTACATTTTAAAAAGGGTAACGGACCAAGTAACTTCCGTTACATTGGTTGTTCGTTCCTCCGTTATACTTAACAGTTTGGTCCGTTCCTTCGTTCCTCCGTTACTTTTCGTTGTCCGAGCGGGTTGATCTTTCAGCTAACCCACAGACGTCAGACATTAATGCAGCAGCGGAATAGTGGATTATTGAGCAGCCCTGACTTGAAGAAGGAAGATGCCCTTAGTATACTGGCCTTCCGAAATGAGCCGGCGTTGCAGTATGTGTTCGTACAGTTCAACACGGGCGTCCCTTCAAGCGCCTCAGTAGAGCGCGTGTTCTCAATGGGAAAAGATGTGCGCTACTTGCAAAAAGGGCTACCCTCTCAAAAAGTGGCAGCAGAACATATTCAATTAAGGGGGGAGGCACTGCCGACTTTTGGTCCCATTCTTTCTATGCAACGCACATAGGGCTTATGTTAAAATGTCAAAATCAAAGGGGGGCACGGTGCGCCGGTGCCCCTCCCCCGTTCCGCCGCCTATGCTCTCAGATGCCAAACCTGGAACGTCTAGTGTTCGTGAAGGGCAACCGGCATCTGGTCGGGGACAAGTGATGCGCACCAGTACCTACCACCAGACGTTCCAAGGTTTAGTGTCCAACCAGTGCCCGCTGTCTTGGTAGATTTGGTGGGCATTCCCCTTTCTCGGTAGATTTGGTTTGTATCAGAATAGTCTCTAAAATGTGTGAAATACACAACATTTTAACGTTTTTTTTTATTTTGCTGTAACGGAGTAACGGACTAAAGACCTTCCGTTACAATATATGCAGAGGAACGGAGGAACGAGTAACGGAAGTCACGTTTTGAAGGAACGGAGGAACGAGTAACGAAGTTACAATTTTGGGGAACGATGCCCACCTATGGTCGGCTCGCATTAGCCGCGCGTTTGCAAGCTTTTAGTGGTTTCAAACGTTCAAACATGTGATTTGATGTTGCTTCCATGCATTAGGGTGGGTGTCAAGGTCACCTGAAGGTCAGGTCAGGTCATTGACCTTTGGTGACCTCGGGTGACCTCGGTTCACTTGTTCGAGCTGTACATGTCTCTAAGCTAGTTTTTGGAGCTGAATTCGAATTTAGCAACCATTTGAACATTTACCAAGTAGTTTTGGTGACTTCGTAACATGTTACGAAGCTGTCAGAGGCGGTTGACACGTACTACGAATACCCGTCACGATGCCTACTGGTTGACCTGACCTGACCTGACCCGACCTGGTCTAAATGCTTGAAGACATCATCTGTGATCAAAACTAACACGATATTCGTGATCAGCACCCCGAAAACCCCCTTAGCAGCCACACTTTACGACTTTCTAACAGGTCCCGATTTTCCCGACTTTGGGTCATTGACCTGACCTGGAAGGTCACCCAATGACCTAAGACCTTAAAATTGGGTATCATCGGCTTCCTCTCGTCACGGGCAACACGCTCGTTTTTTCCGCGAAGCTCTAGCTCGATCAGGGGCCAAACGGCAAGGGGGGGGTCCAACCGACCCCCCCCCCCTACACATTAGAAGCTGGCAAACGCCGCACACATGCGAGGGTTAAGTTATAAGAGTGAAAAGAAATAACTTCATGCTCATTAAAGGGACCCTCCCACCTTCAAAAAAGTTTATAAATTGGCATGAAAATGATGTCGCTCGGTTCAGAAAGAGCGAAAACGAATATCTACCAAATTTCACCGAAAAATATTCACCGGTTTTCAAGATATTAGACTTTTACTTTTGTTTACTTTTTTGGGATCTCCGCTGTTTCTAGCGACTTTATTTTAGAAGTGCGGCGTTTGCGGCAGATGTTGCGCGCAAATAGCATATACCACCGCGTGCTACAAAACGTTTTAGTCAAACATTTAAAAAGCGTTAGATATCTGCGCTGACGTCACACATTCAGAGGGGTATTCCTAAGCATTAGCCCCTCTGAATCAAAATGCTGCAATTTTGAAATTAAATATTTCCGATTTGAGGCATTTCTCGATGTTGTGAGTGCCGAAACCGGCAATTGTGAGCCAGGGACCCCATTTTGGCTATCTCAACTCAAATCTAATGTTAAGGTGGGAGGGTCCCTTTAATATCGAAATTAAAAATGTTAATCCAGAATATATTGTTATGAATGAGATAAAACTCATCGCGTCCTTCAGCACGGAAGTGCCAAAACCACAGCAGCACACCTAAAATTGCCAGATAGCCAAAAACTCAGCAGTTACAGGAAAAGTTCGTTTTGTCCATTCCATGTCGTAGACTATATATTCCGTGGTTTTACCCTTTACATTTGATTTCACATTTGGTTTACGTAAACGCCGTAAACGTATGTTTAAAGGGACCGTGTATATCACACCACGGTGAGATTTACACAATACCGGCCATTTGTGTAAATCACACCCACCCCGGTGTGATATACACAAAATCTACTACGTAGTGTAAATCACACCCGGGTGAGGAATACACAGAGAGGGCAGCTGTGTGTATATCTCACCGCGATGTGACGTCATAGCAACGCTGAACGTCCATTGGTCAGAGCAGTGACTCTGCTCGCCCATTGGTCAGATCAGACTAAGCACTACGAATATTCCGGCGGGATTCCGGGCGTCCTCTCTCACGGAATCAGCAGATCGCCTGGCCTAGTGGTGAAGGTGCTTGCACGATGATACGATTGTTGCGGGTTCGAGTCCCGTCGGTGCGGGCGCTTTTTCCCGCATTTTCGCTTTTCCTTGGTAGCGGTGGGTTCGCTGCCGACCGACAAGTTTAAAAGCACCAATACAATATGGAAAGCGACGTCTGAATGCTCGTGGCGAAGCGGTGCAGTGCCGAAGGCAATGCCTTAGGAGAGATTACAGGCAATGGTAAGTCAAATATTTTTAGGTTAAGTGGTTGTGTATCTGGCTTCAGGCCGAAGGCCTGAAGCCTGATGCACAACCACTTAACCTAAAAATATTTGACTTACCATTGCTTGCAATCTCTTCATGCGAGTACCTTCTTCCTCATCCACGGGTAGGCAAAAATCAGTAGGTCAGGTTAGGTTAGGTTAGGTTAGGTTAGGTTAGGTTAGGTTAGGTTAGGTTAGGTTAGGTTAGGTTAGGTTAGGTTAGGTCAGGTCAGGTCTAAGGTTTGGTTAAGTGTCTTGTTACCGTGCCTACTGTGTAAATCTCACCCAGGTGCTGCGTGGTTTGACACCCAGGTGTGATTTACCCACTACCGAGCACACAGTGTATATCACACCCTGGTGAGATTTACACATTGGCTAGGCCTACTGTGTAAATCACACCCAGGTGCTGCGTGGTTTGACACCCAGGTGTGATTTACACACTAGGAGCACATTGTGTATATCACACCACGGTGTGATTTACGCATTTGCCGGGCCTACTGTGTAAATCACACCCAGGTGCTGCGTGGTCTGACACCCGGGTGTGATTTACACACTAGGAGCACATTGTGTATATCACACCCCGGTGTGATTTACGCATTGCCGGCCCACTGTGTAAATCACACTCCGCGTGGTGTGATATACACAGGAGTAGTGTATTGTGTAAATCACACCCGGGTGAGGTTTACACTACAGTGCGATGCATTATGTAAATCTCACCGTGGTGTGATATACACGCGTCCATGTTTAAAACCGAAAAAAAATCATAGGTACCTAAATTTACCTATATGGAATCATATGGAAGCAAATATCTGCGTTTTCGTAACAGTCACGCCATTTCTGTCTCAGAAGTTTCAGCGTTATGCAGGCGAGTAGTTTGTTTGATGGGAATTTGTTTATTTAGTATTTAATAGGAGCTGTATCGGTCAACTAGAAATATTTTCCCTGTACCACGAATAGCAGAGTTTAACATCTTTGGAATAAGTTTTTTTTCTTCTGCAGAATGCTCGTTTGACACTGATAGTAACAGTAAGCATGAGTTAAACGTCACTTTGCTAGTGCGCGGTAATGTAACAGTAAAAATGGGTATCTTAGATCGTTGGGAGTTGAGATTCCAGTAACGGCTCATTGAACTGGTAATAATTGCCCAAAATAAAAGGGAACATTCTAGATTTATTTTTGTATACTGATACTGCTGATTGAGATCAAACATGGTCAGAGTCCGAAGACGGGTGATGCGAATAGGAAGTCCCGTAGTGTTAAAATTGTGGTTAAATTACGGTACCTAGCAAGGCTATGTAAACCAGTTAGAACACTCATGACGAAAAACTGGGGACAAAAATAAATTAAGTAACCGCGACTCTGGGCGGGGACGAACCAAACTCAGGTTGCCATGGTAACGGGGCAAATTTTGCATGAGTGCACATCTAATAACTCATGTTTCGATCAAGATTCTTATGCTTTAATGAATTATTTCAGAAAATCTAACCTATTTTTTCTTTCAGCTTGCAAAAGAAGAAATCTGAAGCTGAACACATTAATGTGTTCCAAGAAGAGGAACTCAACCTGTAGCCAATCCTGTTTGTGAATGGATAGTTTAAACACTTAATGCAGTCACAAAGTATATAGATACTAAAAATGACTAGAAGCTTGACATCACGACACATCAAGATCATTGTTTCATTGTGCTCTGCAGCAAACTTCATCAATGCTGCTGACAGGGTGCTGATGCCCATAGCCATAATACCTATGACAGATGAATTTGGCTGGACATTGCACTGGCAGGGGTGGATATTGTCATCCTTTGCACTGGGATATTTGACTAGTCAGGTATGTGCTTCATTTCATCAGCTTCCATGGTCCATCAAGTGAAAGTATAAGGATATTTATTTTGCATTCTTGTAAATTTCTGTCATAGTTAAATACTGAAGCTAATCTATTTCAATCCATATGTTTTGCTGTCAGCCCATTTGACCACTTCATGCATTGATTGCCCACAATTTCCTGGTGCACACAACTTGAGGCCAAGCAATTTAACTATAACATACCACAATTGATTCACATAATGTGCTATTGAAGCAGCCATTTCAGCTTCTGCTCTGACATCCATATGCTCTGTGACGACTTCATAGACAAATCATTCCAGTCAGAGGCGTGCCATTCTGACCTGCTCTGTGCTGCGGCAGATCATCGGTGGGAGCCTGGCGACGCGCGTGGGCGGCCGCTCTGTTCTGCTGTTTGCCGTTCTGCTGTGGTCGCTGAGCACGGTCATCACGCCGCTGATCGCACACTCTATATCTGGCCTCATCATCTGCCGGATACTGCTCGGGCTCGGCGAGGGACTGGGTGAGTTGCGCGGGCGGTGGCAGCGAGGCGAGCTGACTGCACTGATTGGGTGAACTGGCATCAGCTGTTGTGACTTTCAGCTACTTGGGGACTTAGTGCACAAGTGATAGGTCTGTAAATGCTGGATTCAACAGATCTCACAAGCATGGCCTCAGAAAATAACTCATGAAACTTTGAATGCTACTTTATAATATGCCATCATGTCAGGTTCTTTGAAGCAATGGGGCATACATTATAATTACTAAGCATATTAAATTATCCACCAAAGTTTCTTTGCACTCAGGGCCCTGTTTCACCGGTGATAGCAGCACGCTACTATCAAATTGCGCGAGCTGACGTAATGTGATGAGGTCACACTAATGACGTTTCGTGTAATCCGTGAGCTGCGTTTGGAACAGAGTTGCTGTCTCGTTGAATGCGTTTGATAACATTTGCTTGATCGCACGGCCGTGAAGATGTTAGCAGCAATATTTGATAACATCACAGATTGACGGCGTCATGGTTTGTTGATGTTTCCATGGAAACCCAATTTGACACGTGTGATAGCAGCGTGCTGCTATCACCGGTGAAACAGGGCCCTGGTAAAACTTGGCTAGAATGCAAGCCAACGACAGTCGACAATTTTGGACATAGATATGCCTTGACTGTCTTTAGGTATATGTCCCGACTATACATACACATGATCACCGTGCCTGTGTGTCTCTATGTCCCAGGTCTGCCGACGATATTCCACGTGTACGCCCACTACGTGCCGGTCGAGGAGCGCTCCCGGGCGTTCGGCTACCTGATCGCCGCCGGCGGGGTCGGACAAACCGTGGCTGCTGTGGTGAGTCGCGCTGCTGTCGGCGTTTTGAGGGATTTCTACTGCTACTGTCGGCTGGCCTGATCGATTTCAAAGTGAGAGATTTTGTCTGTGGAGTTGGTTTGATGGCCATTGTGATTGGTATAGGTGTGTGTCGGTCGGGAAAAGCTTATTTTCTTCTTTCGTGTTGTTGGTGGCTTACATCTGACTGGTGTATTATGACCTATGCTGTTATGGAACGTGGTCATTGAAGGATATTAGCTGCCGTTTAGGAAATTCTTTTTAGACATCCTCGTGGCGTTTTTCCCCGTCACTTCCGATCACCCAGTCAGGCGTACGCACATAATTTTGTAGAGCGCATTTGCTGGTCACCATGATAAGACAAACTTTCCAGCTAAATGTGTAATCGCTCACGTTTTGTGTACGCCGCGGCGGTGTATCCTTCGTGTGCCGCATACGCAGCCGCTTCCTGTGCCTATTTCGCCCGTCATGACTGGTAGCGTAGGTACAATGGTACATGCTTCTATCAGTGCATACAGATCGGTTCTTTCTGTCGTTTCTATGTGCCTACCTGTTAGTACTGATCACTGGGTACCGCCCAATCCCTCGCCGACGCCAGGTGTGCGCTAGCCGATCCTCGCTCTTCCATGCAGTGTTTCCTGATGATTGTATCCTTGTGTGGACCTCTCTAGCAACTGTGTCTTCCCTCGTTTGGTATCCTCTGGTAGCGAACCCCTGTGTTGACCCCGCTGATCACGCCTCTCGCCCCGGCAGCTGTGCCCCCACCTGCCCTGGAGGACGTCGTTTATCCTACTGGGCCTGCTCGGCCTGGCCTGGCTGCCGCTCTGGTGTCTGCTCTACCCCGACACGGGAGATGCCGAGAGCGAGGGCTTCATGTCAAGGGTGAGTGATCGGCAGCAAAGGTCCGCACTCGTCGCGTGTACTGGGTCATGTTTCAGATAGAGCGGTGCTCGAGAAAATATCAGTGCTGGGACCCTAGAATTAGTTGCTCTAAGTGCTGTCCGTTTTGAATGAGTGAAGTACGTTGTGTGTAATGCGCTGTGCACTGCAGATACGCATTGACGGTTTCCTAGATAAGATAATGCTGTGTAGGTATCGTTTTCTTTGCGGTGGAGCAATCGACACCATATCGACACCATATCGATTGTCGGAGCAATGAATCAGTCGTTTTTTTCTCCATCAAGGTTGCCGACTGACTACCATTTTACCATTTATATCCACTTAGCGATGCACTCAAAGTTCAGTTAATACGCGTATCATGCCATCTATTTGGTCTGACTGATTGAACTCCTGTGTCAGCCGGCCCTGATCCTTGCCCGCTCTTTTGACAGTCGGGAGCGGCCAAGGTGCGATGGGCCGAGTTTGTCAGTCACTGGCCGCTCTGGGCCATCTACATCGCCCACTTCGCCATGAACTGGAGCAACTACATCATCATGCACTGGCTACCCACCTACCTGTCGCGCACGCTGGGAGCCAACACGGAGTCCATCAGCCTGACGGCGGTGCCCTACATCGTCAACTCGGTCATCGGAGTCGGTACGGGCGGCCGGGCGTAGGGTCGCTTTTTGTGCGGGGAAGGGTGGAAACATGGATAAAGACTAAAAACCACTGAAGATGCAATGTAGCAGGCCCACTGATTTTGTGAAAGAATGCTTCATTTATTTATAGCTCCATTACCCTTTGCTTCACACCTTTTACCTTTTACTTCACCTTTTAGGCCATGAATTTGCTCGAAGGAACGCGTTTTACGAGCATATTCCTCGTGACGACATCTTTAGTTTGACAAACCGAAGAAAGAACGGATTTAAAGTGCAACGGCCATTGCTGCATGTGCATTTACACTGTGAGGACCTATTTTTTCTCACAGCTTTTCACACAAATGTCTCTGAGCCATACATTTCAAGTGATCAAAAGTGTTCTTTCTCAGGTTTGTCAGACTATAGTTCATTCGTGACAAATCGCCGTATCATCGCCATGAACCCTGCCCTGCCTTATCTATACCCTCCTTAACGACCCACTTTCCACACCGCTCCTGACCCGCCGGCCGGCCGTCTGACCCCACCATACCCCTCCCCCAGCGGCCGGTCACCTGGCCGACCGTCTCATCACCAAGAAGCAGTGGACGGTGCTGTCGGTACGCCGTCTGATGACCACCGTCGGCCTGGTGGGGCCGGCCGTGTTCCTGCTGCTCTTCTGTGCCGTTACAAACCTGCCGGCGGCGCTGCTGTGAGTCGGAGCGGGGGGCGAGGGGCAGAGCAAAGTGGGGACGACGAGTTCCGGGGTGGGAGAGGGTAGTGTATTTACGTTTTCAGTGATTGGGTTAGTTTTGCCCCGGGATGACGGTCTCGTTGGTTGCACTGAGCGATGATAAGCTTTATTTGTCGATATTGCAATCAACAGCGAATGGTGGCCTGATGTGGATTGTGATAAATGATGGCATCTCTTTTCGCTGGACGGTATTCACAAAAGTGCCGAGTTGTGTCTAACGTTGTGATACCGCTCGTGTTTTATGCGTCGCCTCTGACGGGATACCCGTCTGCCGGCAGGCTGGTGTCGATAGTGATGGGCTTCTGCGCGTTCAACTCGGCCGGCCACCTGAGCAACCACGCCGAGGTGGCGCCCAACCACGCCGGGGTCACGTTCGCCATCTCAAACACCCTGGTGAGGACGGAGATACGTAGACAGAGACAAGGGATACGGAGGAGGAGATACGGAATACGGATACAGGGGAAGGTGGGCGGGTGCCTGTATCCTGATTTTGATTTTGCACAGTTGCACAGCACTGCAAGAGTAACTACCACTTATCGCTGTAATAGTCTCTGCCTCATGACCTTTCAAGCAGGACTACGCAATGCTTGTCACTGAGCAATTGACCCATAAACTGGAGCCCTGGCTTGTAATTCATGATCCATAACTCGTGCCCATGACCCATGACCTGTGACCTCCCTCAGGCCACGATCCCGGGCATTCTGTGCGGCCCGGTGACGGCCGACCTAGTGACGGCTTCCCAGGGCCGGTGGTTCCCCGTTTTCGCGTTAGCAGCGGCCGTGAACCTGGTGGGAGCCATTGTCTACTACAGCCAGAGCTCAGCACTACAGGTGAGCGAGAGGGGTATCTTGGTGTCATGGACAACTCTAACTAGTAAGTGAATATTAGGTGTGAAGAAGCATGAATGGAACGAAAAATTGTACTGAATTGACGTATATCTGCATTTGTCGGACGTCTTTGACAAATAGTGTGTCTGTAGTGCCATGGTGTCATTGGCTAATTCCCTTTTTCCTCTCGAGACTGTGGGATAAACAAAATCTCCCCTGTTACTGCGGATGGTATGGAATTGGAGAGCCTATGAGGCCGTTGAGTGCTCTGCGCTCGGCTGACGGCTCCGCTCCGCCGCCGCTGTTGCAGCTGCTCGGCCTGCAGCGGTACTCGATGATGGAGAGCTACCGGGAGCGGGTGTGACCCCGGCCGGGCCGCCGGCGGGACGCGGGCCCGTGACACGCTCACCGCCGGCCGCCGCCGCCGTCAGGGACACAGATCTGAGCGCACCGCGCCGGACGGCGGCGAGGGAGTGCCGGCCGACTACCTACCGGGTGATATGGGAATGACTGGGTCCACGCAGCGGTGTCTATTGAGTGTGATACGTGCCGGCGCCGCCGGGCCGGCCTTACTACTTTAATCTGTTGTCGAGACAATGCTTTAACCGTGCGCGCCTGCCGCCAGTGTTGGGCCGAGTCGGTCTGACGAAGACAGCGGTGGGCCTGGGGCCGACAGTGTTTGTATTTATCGTTAACCGCCTCCGGCCGGCAGGCAGCTGGCCACTGCGCGGTTTTCTGATCCGCCGACTGACGAGTGAGTCCTCTTGGCTCTATGACGAGCATTGGCGCACCGTGCGTCGTCGAAGGCGACTATGAGGAGACTGAATGGGTATCGTATCGGGCAGACCGGGTGATCACCATACCAGAGTGTCGCGGCGACCGTCGTGAGGGGGGGGGGGGTCTCCCTCGACTGGCCGAGTCGCAGCCCCTTTGAGCCGAGTATATGTCGGATGGCCGTCCGCAGTTAACGTCAACAGACGTTAATAATTGCCAATAAAAGTGTTCAAAGACACGCGCTGTGTGACTGCTGATGTCGCTGGAAATGGACAGTCGGATTTGGAAATGGAGCGGTGGGGATTCTTAGTTTGATATTATACCCGGCACGTTGATAATATTGTGAAGGGCAGATGGAGTGGAAGTTCGCGGCTAATGAATATACTTAACAGTCAGGTTTATGCGATGCTAATATCCATCGGGAGACTATAACGCATATGTCATCTTTGCAGTCGTCTTCATAAAATTTGAGATGATTGTGACTTATATTTGGTAAATACTAGTATATTCGGGTCTGCGTGAACCTTCAACTTTGAGCATAAAACGTCTGCTGTGCAAACTATGCATATTCCTGGAAGCTGGTAGAAGAGGCTCTCTGGAGTATTCACGTGCTTCTTCACTTTTCGGGGGTGTCGTGTGGTGTCGTGGGAATCGGCGAGGCACAAGGAATGTGAATGTGTGGCGACGTGCGTGACGTGTTTCGGTGATTAAACTTATATGGCCTTGGGTGATTATTGGTGTGGAACGTGGTGTGGAAGACAGACGGCCAAGTCCTTTGGACATCTTGCAGGGCTGTTGCCAGTCTGGTAGGCAAAGGGTGTAAAAGACTGGCTGGTTAACCGTAATAATTTTGTTTTGGAAGTGACTATCCCTGACCAGGGATCTACCGGAGTACCACTGGATGCCGTATCGTCAACAGCGGAGACGGAAAAGTCAGGATGCCTCAGCGCCGCTCGTCTCCGACGGCGGACAAGAACCGGCTCGACGAGTTCATCAGGTCGACCCTCTCCAAGAACAGCATCGTTGACGAGGCGCAGGCCACCATCCTCCTCCAGCAAGAGGCCCCCGCTGACATAGCACAGTAAGTGGAAGTCATGGAAGCTTTCGTGTTTCCGTAAAGGTTCCGTATCTCGGTCACGAAGTACTTGGGTCATGCAGGTCTTCGGTCATGTTTGCTTTTTCGAAGATTCAAAATCACTTACAATTTTGATGGCTTGCGTGATAAAATAAGTCGGTTCCGACCTGGCGGCCGTGATGATTATGTGGCAGACATTGAGCTGAAGTTAGGCACGATGTCGGCTTGTTTCACGGTTAGCTTCTATGAGCATTATCGATGTTACGGTATGTCGTGATAAAAAAGTTTAAATGTCGCTATATTACTTTTCTAACAAAGCATTCTGCCTCACAGGACCGTGGCCAACTACCTGAAGCTGCCCCATCCCAGCCACGACTGGATCAAACAGTGGGAGGCCGACTACTTCACCAACGGCGTCATGGAGCTGATGGGCACCTCGCCCGTGCTGCCGCCTGGCGGCGAGCCGGTGAAGTACACGGCCAGGCAGCTCGGCATGTCCATTACGGCAATGAAGTTCGCCCTGGCCTGCCACAGAGGTACTGGTTGCTCTGACAACGGTGCAGACACGCGTCATACGTGCGCGCTGCGTAGACTTTCTTCCCGATTACTCGCTCTGACGCGGTCATTGTCCATACACACAAAAATAAAATCGCTTTGCGAAACATCTTGAGGATCTACTGGCATAACCATTGGACAGCGGGAGCCGCCGGCGAGCCGTGCCATCCTGAGTCCTGACTCTGCCTTCCTGCCGCCAGCAGGGTAGATCCAACCTTCGCCAGTCCTGTTTACCTCTGGTCGCCCCGTTCCTTTGATGACTTCTGCCGCTGTAACCCACCACTCACCAGCGACCATTATCGGTCCCAACTCTATTGAATTCTCCGCTGCCCTGACTCGGTACTGACCTCTGTCGGCGGTGCGGTGCGCCAGGCGAGTACGAAGCCGAGTTCGGCGGTCAGACGGGCGGCGTCCGCTACCTGATGAGGCAGCTGGAGGAGTGGCCGAACCCCAACAAGCCGCTCCTCACGCACCAGCAGCTCTCCAACCTGCGCGAGTACCTCACTAAAATGTACGCAACGCGCCTGACATGGTGACGATTGTAAGCTTGAAGACTGTAGGCCAATCTTAAGGACAAATCCTAGCGCGTGTAGCTCATGTTTTGCATGCTCAAACTGTGACTTTGTGATGAATATGTGTCTATAGATAGCTTCAAGTAACGGCTTTGTTCTGCGCCCGTCAGATTCAGCCACTCGTTCGTGTCGCAGCTGCTGCTGCGGCCCCGGATCGAGGCGCCCTACCGGCTCGAGTGGAAGATCAACCGACCGCTGACGCTGCGGCTGCCCTCGCCCGAGCCGCCGCCCGACCGCAAGGCCGCCAAGAAGAAATCGCCAAAGCAGAAGAAGCCGAAGAAGGGTAAGAAGGGCAGCGCGTCGCCGGTGGAGGAGCGCACGCACGATGCGGCCACGCAGCTGCGTCCGCCGGGCTACCTGCCTCTGAGGATGGCCGCGCCGCTACCGCTGCTCTACAAACTCTACACCGGGGAGGAGTACGACGAGGAGGCCATGGCCAAAAAGAAGAAGGGAAAGCGGAAATAGATGGAAGATATGTGGTCGTGGTGCAGGAAATTGAGGTCCTGGAATGAAGTCATGGAGATGTTTGTGAGTGTTTTAGATTTGCGATTCGTTTTAGTTCCTGGGGTTGCGTAAGAGTTTTCGTGGCACCGTCTCCTGTTGATGAATGTATAAATAGTTGACTTTAAAATTGAGTTATTCTGTAACGCAACGTTCCAGCCCATATTAACGTGAACAACCTTTCTAAAATTACTGTAGGACAATTGCATCGATAGCTATTTCTGGCAAATTTTGGCGAACGCTTCAAATGCTAAGCTAAGCTCAACCCTGGGGCAGGGCTGCACCTGAAGTTCGCGTTGTGGCGCCTAGATAGCAGCCCCGCACCGTTTGTTTTTCCGGCTGCCTGAATCAATAGCAACATCAACATTGTGGGTTGGCGTGCGTGGTTCCAGAAAGCTCATCTCGGATTTGGTTACGATGAGGTTTGGCGGCTGCAGGGACGGCGGCCGGCCAGTCAGGTAAGCCCCTGCACGGGCGGCCGCCGCCGGTCCGCGCGGACTGCGGGGCGGACTGCGCTGCGCGGAATGATGTGGACCGCTGCGCGGCGCGCGGACAGTCAGCTGAGACCAGCCGAGCTGCCGACCGATCGTAGACGGGCCGCGGGGGTCGCCCGGACAATCAGGCTTTATTGCCGCGGATACGCTCAGTCGCTCAGTCTATCAGGCTTTATTTCGTGGTAACGGAAATGAAAGCGATCTTGTGGCATGGCTGGATCAGACTATGTTCGGAATAACCGGCCGAGTTCCCGCGACCATTGGAACGTAGATGGAAATCAAATACATGGGAATTGCTCCCAGGGTGATGGGCATTTGATTGCCGAAAGGAGTTTGTGAGGCGGTGATATGAGCATAAAAATGAACTCGTGAGGAAAGAAGGAATTCGGCTGAATGTCGGCTATTGGCCAACACGTTATCAGCCCGTCTTGTCTTGGAGGAGTCTTACCACCTACGCCACCGGTCTCGGCACGCGGAAAACCGATAGCAGTGGCGAGCGATGCATCGGCGCAAGCTTTTCAGATTCAGGGTCATCTCGAGTCTAACCCAACTAGTCTCGAGTCTAACCTATCGAACAGCATTCAGCAGAATAGTTGGCTGGTCAACGGTCCAATTTTGACTTTGGGCGGCATTGTCCCGGTAAGCTCCCGTGAAAATCACTTGCCGTCAGTGACATTGTCGGTCTGCGCCCTCGATAGGTACTCCATGGCACACAGCTCGCGGCGCCCGTCACACATCGATCATGGTTGTGCCGGTGCCGGCCCTTTGTCTGGTCCTGATCAATGGCCCTGTAGTGGTGGGCCGGCTGTGCATGTCAGAGCGATCCGCAGCGACCTCGGCCCGCACTGCTGTAGATAGCGCGATCGGGCGCTTGATGATTTAGTTCCATCCAGTTCGTCAACTGTAGGTAATCTTCATGTTGCATGCAATGTGCATGGTGTAGAATGCAAGGAGTACCATGGAGTATAAGTCTCTTTCGCACGTTCTCTCTCTCTCTCTCTCTCTCTCTCTCTCTCTCTCTCTCTCTCTCTCTCTCTCTCTCTCTCTCTCTCTCTCTCTCTCTCTCTCTCTCTCTCTCTCTCTCTCTCTCTCTCTCTCTCTCTCTCTCTCTCTCTCTCTCTCTCTCTCTCTCTCTCTCTCTCTCTCTCTCTCTCTCTCTCTCTCTATCTCTATCTCTATCTCTATCTCTCTCTCTCTCTCTCTCTCTCTCTCTCTCTCTCTCTCTCTCTCTCTCTTATCTATTATCTTTCGTTGGCTCTCTGCCTCTCTCTTCTTTTCTCATTTTCCTTTCTTTCTCTTCATATTTTCGATATCGGCCTCGCTTCGCTTATGGTCTAACATTCGTTCTTCGTTCCTTCATTTTTCATTTCGTTATCTTGCGCCGTTTAACTCTATGGTACTTTTGCTCTCTCGTTCCGCCAGATATTTCGCTCTGCCGACCGTCTCGTGCTTCTCTCTCCGTCTGATATTTTTATGAAATCGGCCGGGTAAGGAGTTCATTGCGTCACCATATGAAGACTCCGTATGCCGGGCGTTTTCTAGCTGCCATCATATCGCGCAAAGATAGCCCGGCCAACCCTATAACCGGGAAAGCTGACCCATAATAATGGCAGCATTTAAGCTGGCCCTGAAAGCCAGGATTGGGTGAGCCTTGGGATATGAAGGGACGGAATTGGGGAGGGAGGAGCCACTGTCGGCGCCTGGGGTGCCGGGACGGGGGCCGGTGGGTTCGCAGATGCCCCGCCATTGGGGACACAGCCGGCCGGCGTTAATGGCTGGATCGGATTCGGAGCTCATACAGAGTGGGGCCGCCGCTGGTCGCTTGGAGGGCCGCCAAATTCTATTGATCGCAGTGGTCAGAGTGGCACCAGGGAGACCGGGAGGAGGCGGCGGAGGCGCCCTGCAACGGCAAAGCGGCGGCACGGCAAAGCCAAAGGGGCGAGACGGTAAAACCAAAGGGGCGGCACCGACGGCAAAGGCAGAGGCGGCGATGGGTGATGAGCAGTGACTTATTCGTGTGTGATCTCTGATTACTGAATAGTCGCTGTCGCACAGGCGGGGGAGTTTTCAGTTGCGTGACCGGTTGCGTGGTAGGTGTCACAGTCATGTAAAGGTCAGGTCAAGGTCATTGACCTTAGATGAACTCGGTTGAAATTTTCGAGTTTCATATTTTTTTAGTTTTAGAGCTGATTTCGAATCAAGCACCTCTTGGAAGATTTGAGAACTTCTAGTTTGGGCTCGGTTCACAATTTTCCAGTTTTAGAGCTGATTTCCGAAATGAGCACCTAATTTGAAGATTTGAGAACTTATAGTTTTGGCGCCTCTGCAGCATGTTGCAAAGCTGACAGGGGTAGTTAACGCATAAGGTAGCCGATGGGATGTCTACTGGTTGATCTGATCTGACCTGACCTGACCCGATCTATCCAAACTGCATAAATACATCATGTTTGATCAAAACTAACATGAAATTTGAAATCAGGACCCGACAAGCCCTATAATAACATCAGCTTTGTGGTTATCATCGGCTTTCTCTCGTCACGGGCAACATACTCGTTGTCTCGTGAAACCCTAGCTCGATCAGGGGTCAAACGGCTGGAGGTCCAATGGACCCCCGCCTTTCCCCTTCTTTAGCGGCTGGGATCAAAGATCAAAACGGACGAAGATCAAAAGTTTGGTTCACGGCTTGTCAACATTTGAAAGTCTTTTCGGTTGTATTCGAGTGCTGTTATAAACTATTAAAGATGGTAGATATCATTGATATGTTGGGTGCTTGGATTGTATTGTTGGTAACTCCTAGCATACAAACATGCACATACTTAAACATACACACGCTAAGTAACATCAGACTGATAATGGTTCTCCATTAAATAATCTCCATGACGGCCGATAGGTACAGTGATAAGTGACGTATTCATGCTCAACGCTCTCTCATATAACTATCATTAGTGATAAAGTTGCTAATTGGTACATTCCCGCCAAATTGAAGTTCACATGGATTATACATAAGGTGAAGTTGCATCCATGTTGATGGTTGACCATATCAACGAGCCCGTGACGCTGCATGTAATATAACACCAGCTCTAATTTGGAATCACGATTACAACTAGGTACACCACCATGTCTGTCGCAAACTTTTCTGGAACTCGTCCAGACACTTCATTTGCAACTCCCAAGGTCAGGCTAATGTTAGACATCGCGCTTGGCTTACAAAACTCGGCTGTCGGGGCTCGTTATACCAGCGTCGCTAATTGCGAATACCTGCACTCGATGAAACGCCGGCCCGACCGCGAGCCAATAACGACTAACGATGCGGGGCACGCCAGCGGGCGCCGGCGCGCAACGTCTTGGGCAGCCCCTCTTTCATTAAAGGCCAGAGTGATTAATGTGTGGAGATGAAGGCATTTGATGTATGGCCCAGCTGCCCACCACCAAACCCGTTTAATAGAGTGCCATCTTTGTGTCTCACGACATTGAATTATTATCATTTCATAGGGTGAACTGAACGAGCGCGAAAAGTTTGAAAATATGTTTCGAACTTAAGCAACTGTTTTTAAGGAGGCATAATTACGCTAGAGCTGTTCGGTGCTCCTATTTTTGTTGTAATGCTCGATAATGTCAATGCATTAGGAGCAGCATCCTGACAAAGCTAGGCATGCGTGGCACCACCACCAATAGGTATGTTTAAAATGTTTTATGTAAGGCCATGTAAGGCACAATAACCGTGCAGAACTGGAAGTCACTGGGGCATTGGGCTAGAATATCCGTACCTTCGATTGGAGAAAGTCAATAGCCAACGTAATTTATGTTCACCGTAGAAAAGTTTTTAAGAGGCTTGTGGAAGGGCTGTTTTCGCCTTGCACAGTCGTGGTAAATTTGTCATGTTAATTCGTGAGAATTGTAATGCATTGCTATCAAGACTAAGCTGTTAAGTACGTACTTAGTTTAGACCATTTCGCTGAATGACCCGTGTGGTGGTTTTAGATTCAAAGGGTTGTGCTAGTCTGAAGTTATTGCATGTGTACTGTAATCCTTTCAGCGGGTATTGCAACACCTGATCCATCTAGTGAAATTAAGTCCGGGCTTTTAGCGAAACTAGATCGCCATACACCTGCAGATTTTCAGACATGATTTGACACATAATTAGATAACATGAATCCATGAGAATAGATTCATGCTGCCTATGCATAGCAAAATAAAACCTATATAATATAATAGTTTTTTTTTAAGCCATTCCCACCCAGCCCAGGTCTCCTCGCCGACTCCTGCAGCATCTGGTCGGCGAAGGGTGTAGGCTACGGAACACCGAGTCTTTTTTTAAATATACATTTATTACACTCAGATCACCTTATCACATTCACAGTCATCCGACATCATCCACTCCGCTGATGCGCCACCAGTGGCTCATCAGTTGCTGCATCAGCCGCATCAGCTGGCACGGCGCGCAACGACAGCTCCCCCCAACAGCACCACGCGTCACACTATCACTGCACCGCTGCAATGGTTGCACTACACAGGTCAAGGCACAGGAACACCGAGTCTGACGCTGAAGCCACCGGACTCCGGAGCCGTGCGCTAGCGAGGCCATGCTTTGCGGTGCAGCATCGTTCCAGGCGTACGATAGCCCTGCCATCTAGCGGTGGTAACGCGAGCTGCCGAGCAAGGCACCCATTTCGTGCGTCGTCCCGCCTTAGCACAAGTGAAAGTGCACTTGCGCGAGCACTTAAGGTTCCATATATTTTGTATTGACTGGAATATAGTGTAAGCAATGTGTGTAGTAGCTACTTGTTAGCACAAATGAAATGGCAGCCGTTTAGGTAAGTACTCCAAACCCCACACTTCGGTCTAGGCCTATAGGTACAGATGCCTCCGAGCACTATCAATTTTTTATCCTGCTTCGTCGCATGAACCAACTAGAAGATTAAGTAATAGAAAAGGTGATGCATCGCTGCGTCTTTATTTTAAATCTGGCATATGATACCCGACCCGATGAGCGCAAGGTCCATTATTTAGTGCTTAGAATTAGAAGCTCATTCTGTTCACTAATTGTAAATCTTAACAACTCGTAGAAAGGCTATCGTATCGTTTGCGATGCGATAAAACAGCAGTCAAGGACATATGTGTACGATGTGTACGCTCTAAACACATTAAGGCTGGAGACTTCCACACGCGGGTAAGTCGCGTGTAAGTGGTTTGCGGGTAAGTTGGCGTTTATCTCGCGTTTAAGTCGGCGGGTAACTTTGCCCGGAGACTTCCATCTGCGGGTAAATAGTTTGTTCGCTAAGTTAACGAACGAACTTACGCGCGAGCC